AAACTAATATATATATATATATATATATATTTAAATATAACGATATTATCTATCTATATACTACTAAAACTCTGCGATTGTTTGTTTGCTTGTCTGTAATTAAATACAGCAAAAACAGCGTATAATAGTGCCATGTTTGTAATGAAATGAAAATAGAAATGAGAATAAAAACAGAATAAAACAAGTTTCGTTAAAATCGGGCCACGGGTTACCGAGTTAGCCCCGTTTTTCGGGTCACTTTTCATACATTCCAATATTATAACACTTCGTTTTCCACCTGATGAATCACTTTAAAATGTCTTCTATACAACAATATATGCACAACAGAAATTAAATGATGAGATGAAAATGGTCCTACAATATTATTGACTATTTGCAAATAGTAACTATGAAGACGAGGTAATAAATAAAAATCAAGTCGAGAACAACAACAAAATTTTATAAACGAAAACCTCTCGCCGAGCATTGGCTATTATATTATTTCCCTGTCAATGTTCCCATCTTCATTAAAAGGCGTAAGATGACAACAATCAAATATCTTTTCTTGAATTATGAATAACACGAATGGATTGAAATATTTAATTAAATCATCTCAAAATAAACCGTCATTTCGGTGCAATATTGAAATTAGCTTGAATTCTTCAGAACCTCTGAATAGTGGTTGACCCAACGGGTCACGGTGGTTTAGTTTACTTAAGCCAAGAATTTGTACACCCAGGTGGCCGGCTTTGACAGCAATCTAACAGGACTAGTATGTTTGGCAATGGGGACTCGAACACGTGAGGATTGCGCATCGAAAGCCTTAACTACCAGGCCTAATAATATATACATATATAAACGTATCTGTATTTCATTGGTGTAAAACTAAAAAAAAACAAAAAACATTTAGGTAATGATTTGAATTTCGCGCAAAGCTACACGAGGTCTATCTGCTTTAGCTGTCACTAATTTATCAGTGAAAGACTAGAGGAAAGGCAGCTAGTCAATGCGAGTGAAGCACCCTAACCACCTGCTGATGGCGGGTCTAAAGTGTAAGTGTAAGAAACCTTATCTTTCCAAGTTTCATTACCTTAAATGTCTAAGATATACTTAGTTAATAACTACACAACGGGTTGTTGTTAAATCTTTCTGTTAGAAGAATAACAGATTGTGAATATACACTAATATACGCGATTTCAAAAAATATATAAAACTATCCTTACACGCGTATTTTAAATATCTATTGAAACTCACAGTATCTGCAACGCAATTTTATTATCCCAAGTGAATCACCGTAGAAGTCGTGAGTTCTGTGAATTAATATACTGTGTGCCTTTAGCTATGTATCTAGAATGATAAGAAGGGCACAACTTAAAATGGTTCCATATCAATCCCTCACCAAGATTAAAAAGTAATAAATATAACCAGACCTACAATAATAGCAAAGCTTGCTTTCTAAGTATGCCACGTATGTTGTAATCTTTCTGAAAGATAAGCTATCTCAAAATAACAGCTTTAACAAAAAGGCAGTGCGTGTTACGTCGGGTAAAGTTGTGCAGCTATGGAGTCACAAGCTTCCCAGTTCTTATAAAAAATACTCGTAGTAAAGAAAAGACAGCGCTCGAGTTACCTGTGAAACTTTTCAGAACAGACCGTCACAGTTTAACGTTTTTTCTTTTATCGGTTTGTCGCGTTTTTACAGGAATATTATTTTATTTCATATGAAATTTTAGATGAGTATATTAAATACCTGGTTGTCTGTTGAAAAACCAGAATGTACCGGTTCCCAAGGAAAGTTCAAAATATCTTTGCAATTTTAATTACACTGCTTTACATATCAACTGGGCAGAGTCAAGGTAAGTCATAGTATTCATAGGTTCTGGATAACTGAAAATCTAGAATTGAAAACATGTTTTGTTTACGTTACCTCCCCACCTTACCCCCGAAAAATATATTGAGTGTAACTGAACGTAACTTAGGAGTTGCTCAAAACTTTGAACAATAATTGAAGAATCACTGATTGCAAAGTTGTTGAATACTTCAATCGTGCTAAAAGTTTTATTTTATAAATTATCATAATATTTTCTTAATTGACTCATGTATATGTATGTCTTCTACCAACTCATAATACTGAATGTTTTAACCACATTTTTATTACTATATCGTAGCTTGTATTAAACATTTCTTTTTCATTATTCATCAACTTCTTCGAGGCGTATAGTTTTATAATTTATATAGATAACTAATCATCTTATCAAGAACTCGTAGACAGGTGAAATCTAAATTCACCTCCTTATGCCTATTTCTGTGATACACCTTGAATCGTAATATATTTTCTTGTTTTTTAACGCTCTGTACGAAACTCACTGACAGCTTCATCTCTAAATAATGTCTTCGTGCTGTTGAGTGAATGTATATATTTATATCAGAGTAAGTACACCTATTACATTTTTGATTAGAAACTAGTAACATATTAGCTCACATCGGTCAGTAAATCCCCTCTTTATGACCTTAAAACTTTAAATTCCGAGCAATAACTGCTCTCATCTGTATAGATACTTAACATATTTCCAAACCTGTTTACATATGATAACTTTAATTATGATTAATTAGCCAAACAGGTAGTTATAAACAGCAATTAACAGAAGGATCGTGTATTTAGTTTGTAAAAAGTAAATGAAGTAAGTAAAGTTAAAAACATATTATCGCAAAGACGAAAGTAGCTTAAGATATTTGAATGAAGATTAAAGTTTTAATTTGATGGTTCAGATTTAAACTGTATGTATTAAGATAAAATTAAACTCGAAAAATGCGCACGTATGCTGACTTATATAAACTTGCATACGACAACTTTGCTGACTGAAGTCACGGAAATCACTGATTGAAAATAAATACAGGATCAAACAGTGAAACTGGAAACCCATTGCTATTGCAGTTGGGATCAATTGATATAAATGCAAAAACGCTATCTTTCCATAAGGCTGTGATACTTGTAGGTGTGGACACTTACAAATGACCACATTCATGATGTTAGAAAAACATGTAGGTTCAGCAAATCAATGTAACACAAATATATGATACCCTACAACCTGAACGCTTTCGAAAGGTGGACATTTCTTTTTAAGGAGCAAACAGTTTTCCCCTGAAGAAGAAAGGACCACCTTTCGAAAGTGCTTGGGTTATAGGTATCATATCTTTGTGTACAAGTGACCACAGCCTTGTTTGCGACATACGCACCATCTTCAGTAAATATTTTTTGTGTTTTGTTTCGGCCACAATTAGGGTATCTTATCAGAGTTAATAGCTCAAAAACTGGTTTGTCATTTCATGTTTTGAGAATTCCCGCTGTATAATAGAAGGTTATCAATCCATAAGAAAGATATATATATATATATATATCTCGCAAACTATTGATTACATTAATTGTTAATAGGCGATTGAATCAGCACTATAAAACAATAATGAATTAATGTCGCATTACCGTTATCGGTCCAGGTTGTCAACTTATTGACATAGCGGACAATGTCTGTGGTAAAAGCACCCAAATGCTTTGGGGATATCCCATCTATCAAACATAATCCAAACGCTGGTGCTAATCTAGTCAGCCGTCGTGGAAAATCAAATATGGGTATGAAACTCAGTGCTTACACCCACAACGTCTCAGCTTCTACTGCATATCACTGTCAATAGCCAGTTGAGGGAAGGCAGTTACCCTTAACTTTATTGAAGTA